ATATAGAAGTAAGTGTATATAAGGGACTGTTTCTAAAAATGGAAAGAGGTGAACGGGGCCACTGTGTTTGATTCAGTACGAGTGATATCTCAGCAAACAAAAAAGATAGGAGGTTCAAATTTTATATTCTAGCTTGTCAATATCAGTAATTTGAGTTTCTAATTCATACAAAAGTATAGACTTCGTATTTTGAGATTACAAACATCTAATTTGAACCAGTGCTGCATTCAACATACCACTTAACACACAAAAATCACTTTTTAGATGTGTTTTTTTAATATTTACTTTTCAATTAAGAAATTGAATAAAGCATAATATAAGCATTTGAATTATAATCTACAGTTTGATACCAAACTTAATAACATAAATTCATAAAATAGTAGTTCAATAAAATTTTGAATGCAAGTCAACAAATGCAATGACATGGCCTTTAACCTGTGACCCATCTGGAAAAGGTTAATAACTTAATTTAGTGGATGGGATAGTCTAGATGGACCAACCACGTCTTTGTTGTCCTTAAATGTTATCTACATGACAGTAGTTGTAATTTTTTGTTTTTTATCAAAAATGGTATGGTTTAATGTCAGATGGCACCAAACTATTCATAACAAATAGTAGCTATTTTGTGACACTATAATTCCAGAAGCTATCAACTGTTAACAATAGATATTTTTATGGCATTAATTACTACCTCATTGACAAAAAGGTCTATATTCTGTTGAGTTTGTGGTACCCATTGTCGAATAATTGCAAATATCTCAGCTATGCTAGTTGGTTCTCCACGAAGAAGCTCCAAACACCCAGGACAGCTAGGGTCAAAGAAAGGGAGGTTTAACTGTTGACATGTCCTACACAATGGAGAATCAGATGCTGGATGGGTAACTGGATAATCCCTTTGTGCTACAGAAGATTCCTCTTTCCTTTGATTAGGTGGAAGTTCTTCGGTGTGTGTATGCGTCATAGTTAAACCTCAAAGTATTTCACCTAAAGAAACAATAAAATAAAAACATTTCTACAAATATTCTTCTTAGACTATACAACATTTATAATATTCTTTACCCTATTTTGATGTAACTTATTACAAACACATTAAATCTATTGCTACAGGCATCCTTTACTGTGCATGTCAAGAGGTTTTTAATGAGTTACATTCAAAATTTAAACTACTTTTTGTTCAAGTTATACAAATTAGTAGAGCATAAAACTGTAGTAAATAATCCATATTTTAATAGTATACAAGTTAAGTTCTTAATTTTATAAGGCAATATTGGAAAAAATTTCGAATTTCCCCTAATGTGAGAAATGACAGTTTTTCTCTAGGCATCCCCTTTTCTCTTATTTACTTACCACCCCCTTCTAAGAAGTACGAAATTTGATGTAAATTACTCAGTATAATATTGTAATTGTCATAAACATCAATCTTGTTTGATTACAAAGCCACCAAAAAGAAAAATCAGGCCCCTCTTGCCACACTCAATAGAAAGCCGAATGAAGTATTATATTACGTGGTTTTCTGAACAGAGCATTATCATTTTTTCTTTCAGAACAAGCATGGGAAACAGATCGACTAGCTTGGATGAATTTTGTAATTTTGTCGCATAGTTAGAAAGTCAGAAAATTTGTGAGAGGTATGGGAAATTATCTGATTTTTGCATATTATTATTGTATGTTCTTTGGTGCATTTTTTAATTAAAAATTCTTTAGTGCACTACCTTTCATTAGTATAAAAAAAGTAGGGTTAAATGTCATGGACAGTCAATAGCAAAAAAAGAATGCCCAGGACAAACAAGAAACAAAATGCTTACATGTGTAATCTTTATTTATTATTATATATAAATATATATATATATATATATATATATATACATATTATATATGTAAAAAATTTACTAAGACTTCTTCTGGTGGACTCAGTTCAGTTTGTTTGCCAATTCAACTTTGTTGTTCACACTGTTTTCCAAATGAGCCAAATCATAGCGAGCAAGTACAAAAAAGCCCCATTGTGAACAGACCCTAAAAAAACTTATTGTAAACATTACATCATTCTCATATGAAAAAAAAAATCTAAACCAAAGTAGTTACATTTATTAAAGGAACATGAACTTTGAATTACAGAAAATAAAAAAAAATTGTATTTACATACATAACAGACAAATTTAACAAGATTCCACATACTTCTCATATTTTGAAAAACACTACAATAATCAACATTATGACAACAGGATTTAAGTTCATGATGGGTATATTTTAACAAAAGGAAGAACCATTACATTTAGGCACATGTAACACAGACAGTACCCTTGTTCCTAAAAAAGAACTGTGATGTGCATAGTAAGTTAAGTTATATAAAGTTGCTTTACATTACACTCAGTAAGTGCACTGTACCATTGTTACAAATATTACCACTGCACGAAACTATGTGTCAATAATAAGCATTAAGATTATTTGTAAACCAAAAAGTAAGCATATGCCCATTTATTTCTCATACAGATCTGACAGGATATTATCAGTTTAATTTTTTTTATGCAATTATTGGTTGTTTATAAGAGCAGTAAGAGATGATCATGTACAACTGAGTTGCCTTCTGTTGTTCTTATCCATCCTTGTGGATTTATGTAGTGTTTCTTTTCTTAACTTAAGAACAAATATGTACAATATCAAGTATGACATTTTGGTCTGATACTCTTAACAATAATTTTGTTGATCTAATTTTATTTATTTAGATAAAACCTTACTATACTTTTTTATAATTAGAAGCTTTTGATTATTGTATGCTAGGCCTTTTTTTTATTTGTAACACAGTCCCTCAATTTATCCACTTCAGAATACTTTTAGCTAGTATGTAAAATGCTGTAAAAAATACATTCCACTGAAACTATTTTGAGCAAATAAAAATAGTACAACCTTTATTTGTATCTTTTCACATTTTTATTAGCCATCCAATCTTTCTCTCATAATATTTAGCTAGAAGGAAAAGCTCACAAAGTGCTTATATGATATGTTCGTAGCACTCAAAACTATTAAGGTTTTAAATTTCATAAAATTTTAAAAGGGACAAAAAAGGAGCTTATTAGCCCATCAAAGATGTCCTTTCCAGCTCCCAACTAAAACCACCCCTTACTACTTATGTATTCATCCAATCTTTCCTTGAACTAAGTTAAATTTTCTGCCTCCACCACCATTGAAGGCAGCTCATTCCAAAAGCCAACCACCCTCTTTGGAAAGTAGTACTGTCTAAACTACAGACAATTCCTATGCTGCCAATTTATGCCCCCTTGTCCTATTGTTTTCAATGCTAAACACAAAAAAGTTGGATGAATCTATATTATCAATACCCTTACTAATCTTAAACACTTCAATCAAATCCCCTCTGACCCTTCTCCTCTCCAGAGAAATCAAATTAAGAGATTTTAGTCTCTCCTCATAGCAAAATCCCAACATCCCACGTATCATCCTAGTGGCTCTTCTCTGAACCTTCTCCAAGAATTCAATGTCCTTGAGGAGGGGAGCTCAAAACTGTACATAATACTCTAAATGAGGCCTTACAAGTGATCTATACAGTGAAACAATAATATCCCTAGTCTTATATTCAATATTTCTATAGATGCTACCCAAAATC